AATGTCAAGTACAGAGGCTGAATATCTGTCTCTTTCATCCGCAACACAAGAGGCATTATGGTTGCGAAGGATTGCTCAAGAACTAGGTATTCAGGACAACAAACCAACTGTGATTTACTGCGACAACAAGGGAGCAATTTTTCTGGCTGACAATGGAAATTACAGTAGTCGCACCAAACATATAGACACCAGACATCAATTCATACATCAAAATATAAAGGAAGGTAACATAGTGGTGAAGTTTGTATCATCAGCACACATGATGGCTGATAGTTTAACGAAAAGTGTCAGTGATAAAACAGTAAAAAACTTTAATGAACAAATTGGACTTAAGTGATATTATTTGTAACTATGTATATAAATTTTTTGTTGTTTGTTCTTTCCTTTTTTTTATTATTCAAATTGTTTATTGAGGGGGCGTGTTATAAGTCATAATATATCCAATAAATGTATTTGAATGTATATATGTATAAGTATGTTTGTATATATGTTAGTATGGGCCAAGCTCTGGCGCTGAGAGCCGAGTTATGGTTTATAGTTTAGTCGTCGTCCATCGCTTGGTAAGCGATGAGCTACTCGTGTGTTTCTGTGTGGTAGACGTACCGCTACAGAGTCGCTTTTACATGCGAGTGGTCCACTGCTAGTTTAGTATTGTTTAACCTCGAGGTAGTACTAGTAGTAAGAGTAAAAAGTATATGATTTAAATAAACGTGTGCGCCAAAAGAAATAACTAATGAATGTCTATTCTTTCACTGCCAACCTACTCTGCTTAATCCTCTAACAATAAAAAGTTTAGGATAAAAATTTATGAATACAAGCCTAGTTGGACCTGTTAAACATGATATACGGCAGAGATATCTGTTTTTGACTGTCAAACATCTTTCAATCACCTGATCTTTCATTTTATATTACTTGTACTTTATGACTGTTATGGCACACTTATTCGTAGTGGATAATATTATCAGATAAATAACAAAGTATTTACCTAGTTGGCCATTTTAATCATAATTTAAGGTAGAGATTTCTAGTCGTTTTTTTCGAGGTTTACTTTATTACACACATATCTGAGATGTAATGAATCATCGTGGGTGCAACCCACTCAAATGATACTGCATTGTGTAAACTGTAGTATTGTTTTCTAATGCTATTGCAATCACACAACACTCTTATGCAACTGTATCAACAAGTTTGTTATATTATTGCACTTGGTATACTTGTAGAGAAAACGGTTTTCTTGAGTACAAAATTCTTTGTTTTGCGTTAAGAAATTTCTCATTTAACTGGTGCAGATCGAGCAACTTTGTCAATATATATATATGTATTAATTTCATAAAAATCACACGTCTTAATAATCAAGCATACCAGAGATCATTTTTTTTCGTGATTGAAGATTTAATATCAAATAAGTACCAATTAGGAGTTTAGAAAATAATGCATATAATTAAAAACTGAATAATTATTGCTTATGAGTATATGGTTTCATCGTGAGATGCAAACTACTTCATTTATTAATAAAAATTCACTTAAAATTGTTTTTTTTAAGTGTCAACTAATTTTTGCTTCATTGATAGACTCCACGTAATATTGTGATTTGATGCAGAAACTCACATCTATTTAAAAATCATGTTTCATTATTTAGGTTAAAACAATAATTTTAAAATTACAACTTAATTTTAAGTGGAATCGAACTTGATGTTTCATGCATTTAATGGACATAACACAGATTTTGAGGTAATAAAGAATACTCTATTTATACAATGTACAAGGCAAAGTTTCTTGTTTACTTTTTAACTTATAGCCTATCAATGAGGCTTAAACAGTAGTTTTAAATTTATTCACAGTTCATGATCCAAATTCATTAAGTAAATTAAAGAGAAACCAGCTAAAAATAACTTCTTAGGATACTTACAATTTTCACGATTTTATCGGATTAGAAGTAAAATCGGTGGAATTCTTAGAGTAACAAGATACAGGTAGAATCAAAACATTTGAATTGATGTTGAATTAGTACCAGAACCAAAAGTATAAGTCACACACAAAAATTCATCAAAAGAGCGCTAATCAATGAATCCAATTGGCTGTACTCGTGCATGCAGTGCCACACTCCCAACACAAAATACAAAATATTTTTGTGTACTAAGTATGCGGTACGTACTGACAAGAATGACCACTCGACAGTCGACGGCCGTAGCTGAACACCAGGCCCTGGCCAGGTGGCCTGGGCAGGCCCTGGCCAGTATTGTAATAAGGTTGTCGAAAGGGTAGGGCCAGGCCCTGATGATGGAATACGCATATAGGTATACTATCCCGATCGGAAAGTTAGCAAGCAGGGCCTAATTAGCTGGGGCCTATGCATACAGATATATGGGCCTATGTGAGTTGCCTAGGTGGTACCAAGCTAGGATTGTAATGGGGCTCTGTGTGGGCGCTAACTGGGGACGAGAAAGTTATCGTCTACCTAGCTTTTCCTTGTACGAATCGAAAGATTCAAGAGCGGAGAGGTATACCCGAACAGAAATCTTATTGAGGCGAACGAGAGGACCTCTAGAGGATACCTAAATAGCCTATGGAGGACCTACTGAGGCAAAGTAACGAGGCGTACAGTTGGTCCTCTTTAGGTATCCTAAAGAACTGTGTACCTAACCAAACTTGAAGAGTCTCTAGAGTTAAAATATATGTATAAATTCGATATGACAGAGTGAGATAGAATTGTAATGAAATACACTATTATACCTACAGGTGTTTTATTATATATAATAAAAAGTAGATTGGTTGAAGAAATGTATACTTGTTTAAATGACTTTTACGTGCTGTACAATAATTAAAGAAATTACGACTACTTTAAGGCTGCAATTATAATCATTACTTAACAGAAATGTGCAGAGAGACGAAAAATGTAAACTTGTAACATTATACTTAAGGTAGTTGTACAGGTACCGCAAGAGTCATGAAACTTTTTGATTTGTGTAGAAGAACGATCTGGCAACGTCGCTTTGCGGTCATGTGTGTGTTCCTGTAAGTGTGTGTTCAGAGCATCATAGAAGGAGCACTTCGTTGATCAGCTGTAGCAAAAGGAGAAGCATGTGTATCTTTTTTTTAGTTAATAAAATAGTCATGCCCAAAGAAAAAAATAAGAAGTTTTTTTGGAAAGGTGTAAGGGTAAGCGAGAAAGTATATAATGCACGAGTAACTAAAAATAATAAAGTTAAAAATAGGCTATTTAATTATTTAAAAAATAAATATTAAATATTTATTACATAAATATTAATTTATAACATGTTTATTTCATTTTTAAGTAATATATGGCAATAAAATTGTTTTGATGTTCTTTGTATATCAGTTCGTTTTATTATTTATATATTTATTTATCATATTTATTTAAAATATACGTCCTATAACAATAATTGAAAATCTATAAGAGAGATTGCAGTAATCAGGATTTACGAGCAATCATATGTACCTATTTACCTTTCAAACCGCGCGCGTAATATCAGATTATGCGGCGTTGCCATATTTTCAAATAGCGTCTCACAAATGCACGTTCTTCACGCTTTACTATTTAATTACTTTTCTCACAAGTACCCTTGGAAGGTTTTGAAAGCGAATATATAATTGTCATTTAATTATCTTTCTACTGTCCAAAGGGCATCAGAACCTATCCTATATTAGCAACGATATGAATGATAATATACAGACAGCTCCGCGGTTTCCCATAAGACGCCATGTTGAATTGGCATGTAAACAAAAACTCAAGGCATGCAAATAATTATGAATATCTCCCTTTATAGGTACCCTCGGGTCACAAAAATTTAGATTTCTTATTTTTATGCATTAATCTACCATCCTGCAAAATATCATAATTTTCTATCCTATATTTCAATTTGCTGTACAACTACCTTAA